TCAGCCTAGATGTGGATTTACATCTAGGATTATACTTTTCAGTTGTTTTGTTCTAAATTGATACACCAACAGCAATAGAAGACAAGTTCCAAATTAGGTTTAGGTTACGCATCACAAAATGGAAAATCTTCAAACGAGTTATAATAAATCTAGTCTTATACAATGAGCATCTCATGTATTTTTCTATTGAAATGGAGGGGGAATCTGAGCCAGTTCTGTGCTTTAGACACTAACTTGACACCTGCTTCTGCAAGAAATGGGTCGTTTCCTAGAAAGACTTTTCTCATAATGCACAGTGCTTGGTATAGTAGCATCGCAAGTCAGTCTGTGTACAGGTTTAGGAGTCACTGTGTATCAGTTTTTACAGATATCTAGCTAACTTGAAATTTTCCAGACTTAGTCCTCTTACATCCAAACTTATTCAGTTTTCAGATCACCATTCACTTAATAATTTCGTTGTTGTAACACCTAATAATGAAATGTATGGAGACATTGTTTTCTGCATTAGTGTGTAACAATCTCTCATTAATTGTGTGTGTTGGAAATGCCAAGAAGTTCTTTGAGGAATAAAAACCTGTAACTAATAGTGGATTATTTATTTGCTAACAGTCCTAGGAATCGAACCTGGCTCAAAGGATGCACACTAACTTAGCATAATATGTTGTTCCTTTAGAAGCCTATAGAAAACAGAAACCATCAGTAGTCACAGTCCTCTTCTTTTGTCTAAGGACACAGTAGGCTTTGTGTAAAGTCAAGCTTTTGATTCCAGAGTATTTTCTTTTATGAAGACAAAATAGAGAATACAGTAGAAGTCTGTTTTTATTAATAAGTGAAAAAACTTGGAATAAAGGGTTACTTCTGACCCTTTCTAAGGAACTGTATTTGCTCAAATATATTATTAAATTGAATCTGCCTGTATTATAATTTAGAGAATATATTCACTGTTCCAGACACAGAGCCACTGTTAACACTGCTAAGACTACAGAGCACATCCTACAGTAAGTGGCAGAAGTTTCAGAAATGAAGGCAAAATAAATGAAAATGTGCCTGCCAGTTAAAATACTGCATCTAGTTAACATAGCCTTACAAACTCTTAATTGTCACTGCATATCTAATGGTTCAGAAACAACCAGGAACTGGTGCTTTGTTCATTATACCAGACAGTATGCTGTACAGAGACTGTGCCGAAAGGCAGGCATTCATAATAATAATGCATTTTATGTACAATGTTAAATAAACATAAATACTTATGACTCACCAAATCCCCATCTGAACGGTTTTATTTCTGTATTCTAATAGCATACTGAGTACTAGTAACCAGGTGCAAAAGTTGGTCACACATTTGGGCAGTGGGACTTTCAGTGAAACTGTGGGTGCTTGCTTCAAAGAATGCCCTTTTTAAAGGCAAAATAAGACATTTTCGAGCTTTGGAAATCAACATGTCATATGTTAAATTGTGCAGCTTTATGTCGGGTAATTTACCAGACACTGCTCTGCAGACATGATCTATTGGTATTCAGTAATGTTTGAGTGAAACAACCCTTCAGCTGTTGTGGAGAATATTCTTTTGAGGGAAAAAGTTTTACTAATGTTAAATATGCTTGGACTTCTGTTACATTGTTCTTTAATAAAAATTAATTAGTCACTCTCTATGTAACCATCCTGCTGCCAGATCAAGGCTTGCCTTGGGAGCTGGGCTACCAGTGCCGGGCTTGGGCTGGTCGGCAGGGTCTGTTGTACGGTGCTCAGCAGCGCCAGCAGCTCCGAGCGAGCCCGGGGCTGCTCCAGCCTGCGGCCGGCAGGCAGAGCTGACTGTGGGCCGGTGCTGCGAGCAGAGCGGTCAGGCCGCGTGGGCTGAGTAGGGTCGGACAGGAGCGCGAAGCTACCTGGGCTGTGCGTGGCGAGGGCACGGCCAAACTGCGGCTCGGGGATCAGCCCTGGCTGAGGCCTCCTCGCGGCGCTGCTCCGGAGCTTCTCCAGAGTCGGCTGACGGAGGACGTCCCGTGGCTGTGCTGAACCCAGGCCTGGGGCAGAAAAAAGAGCTCACAGGGCTTGGCATTAGCGCTTCTCTCACTCAGATGTGCACCAAAAGGGCATGCCTGAGGCGTAGACCTGAACTAGGGCAGAAAATGTCTTGCTCTGCTTCCAGTTTTTCAATCTCTCTAAGCAAAAGAATGGTTTTATTTCAGAGATGGAATGCGAGGAGAATGGTGGTGACACCCACAGAAAATGTGTTGCAACAGCTTGTCATACAATAATGGCATCTAGGGACTTGTTAAAGAAACTGATTAAAATTTTACTAATTCTCCAAGCTATATAGGGATATTTTCTGGTGGTTTTCTGTCTTCTCTAGTAATTAGCCATCGTGGTTGAGTACAGCTCCCATGCTAGATTCTCATAGACCATAGGGCTAAGAGTTCCTGAAAGCTGTGCATTTAATTGTAGAGACAATTTTCCCAGAGACTTTGTGCTACTTTGTAAGACCATACTTCAGAAATTTGAGGCCCCCTTTCCCTCAGAATAAACAACTGTGGGAGTGGATATTTGTATATTCTATTTGAAAACAAAGGGTGAGAGGCAGTAGTTTGTCTTGAGTGAATCAGTATGTCTGGCTTACAATTTAAAAAAAATAAATTGTAATTTCTTAATGTTATATTTAAAATCAGAACTTTATGTATATACTTCTTTTACAGAATACTCTCATTTAATTTTTCTGGTTTTGAACTGGTCTAAGCTACAAAGCTCTTATTCAAATGCTTCTACTTCAATAGAAGGGAAAACATAATTCGTAATGCCACTTCCAGTATTCTATTTGCATCAAAAAGAAATCTTAAATTTGCAATATAAGTTTTAAATGGAAGGTTCTAAATAGGTTGTAATAGTTGGTTTCTAGTAAATACTTCTTAGTATAAAAATCAATAGGAAGTAAAAGACAATTTAAAATTGTTACTTGTTTTTAGTTCTTAATGGAAAATAGTGACAAATCTATGAATTGTCTGCATTTTGGAGTAATTAATCGTGTAGGACCATGTAGAGAGCTTTTTGGATAATTAGCTAGCTGAGAAAGGCCACTTCGATGTGATACCGTTAGATAAAGATAGGGGAAACAAGCTAGAGATTGTGAAACCAGTGTCCAATCACTGACAAAGGTCATAGTGACCTTCGCTGAAACGGGAAGATGAGAGAGAAAATCGCTTGCCAGAAAATGTAGATATTCTAGGTAGAGAAGCTAGAAGAATGCAAACATAGAAACAAAATAATCATTAGAGCATAGAAGTAGGTGTGGTTGATCTAAGTGTGCTTTAACCAATAATGAGCTCAGCTTTTGCAATATGTATAAGCTTCATTAACACCAATATAAATATGTGTGAGCTTTCAATAAACTTTGAGATTTACCATTCACGCATATTGTGTGAAGCATTTCTTCCGCCGTTCACGACAGGACCAAGAGTCCATCTTACAGAAAATGATAATAATTATCAAAGGTCAGAGTCCATGAGATGTAAACTTTTTGTGGAATTTGAACCTTGTGCTAAAGGTTTAGTGGTATAAATTTTGTTAGTCCCAAAAATGAATTGTGAAAGGCTCTTAATAGTCTGCTTTACCCTTAACAATAAGTCATAACTTGTTCTGGAGCAAAAGGTTATCTTATTTATTTTACACCTTCCATTTGATTTCGGTACCAGACTCATTTAATTTTGTAATAGTAGTGTTGGGGGTTTTGTTGTTGTTTAATGAAAAACCAGAAGACAAGCTAGAGGACTGGGCAATCACCAACCATATGAAGTTTGACAAGGGCAAATGCCAGATTCTACACCTGGAATGGGCAACCCTGGATGTAGAGACAGACTGGGGAATGAGATGCTGGAAAGCAGTGCTGTGGAAAGCATCCTGGGATGCTGGTTGACAGAAAGTTGAAGTATGTCAGCAGTGCTCTGGAGCCAGGGGAGCCGACTGTGCCTGGGGCGCATCAGGCCCAGCACCACCAGCTGAGCCAAGGGAAGGATTGTACCACTCTCCTCCACACCCTGTTGGCTTCACCTTGAGTATTGTGTGTTTTGGTTACCACAGTATGAGAAAGATATTAAGCTCTTAGAGAGCATCCAAAGAAGGGCATCAGAGATGTTGAAGGGTCTTGAGGGGAAGCTGTATGAAGGCCACTGAGGTCACTTGGTCTGTTCAGCCTTGAAAAGAGGAGAGTGAAGAGAGATTTCATGGCAGTCTACAAGTTCCTCATGCTGGGAGGAGAAGGGGCAGACACTGATCTCTTGTCTCTGGTACCCAGTGACAGGACCTGAAGGAATGGCCTGAAGTAATTTTAGGGGAGGTGTAGGGTGGCTATTAGGAAAAGGTTCACAGCACCAAGCCTGACAGAGTTCAAGAAACATTTGGACAATACTCTTGGGCATGTGATATGACTCTTGGGGATGGTGCTATGTGGGATGTTGGACTTGATGATCCTTGAGGGTCCCTTCCAACTCAATACATTCTGTAATTGTGTAAAAATTATGTTCAAATTCCTATGTTTACCTGCAGGATTACAGTTCCTCTTAAAAGTGGGGTCCTAATTGTAAAAGTGAATTTGCCAGTTTCTGAATGTGCTCAGCAGGCACTTCCTGATGAAGTAGAAGTGTCATACATCCGTACTACATCAGTAACAGGATAGTGCATACCAGGCAGAGAGTACCCGAGACATGAAGAACCATAAGGGGAAATAAAACAGAGGTAATTGTCTTTAAAATTTGGACTCCTGACAATTCATTGTCTTCAAGGCACAAGTTGCATTTTTAATCTTTAAAAGGCTGTGCAGGAAGGAGGGGAGAGAAAGGATAGAACCTTATCTTAGCATTCTGAGAATTGTGTCAGTAATACTGACTGACAAATTTTGGAATTATGGAACAACTTGAGACGTGATAGCTATGTTCATTTTATACTGCACATTTCACTAACATGTTGCATTAGGATTTTGATATCTAGCTTTCAAAAAAAAAGCCAACTCATTAAAGGCAACCATTGACCATTCTTGGTTTAATATGCAGCTATTAGAAAAGGCCTTGGTATACAGAGAAAGATGCATCTTCAAAATTATGCATTGTGGTCAAGGCTCTGATTACTGCAGTTTCAACGTGGCTTTTGTGAATTAGACACTAGTTTATTCATAAGGTTGTGAGTCTGACTGTTCTCATGCTTCCAAAGTAATGCATTTGTACAAATAAAATAGTGGCATATAGATGGTGTACACAAAGTCCAGAATAATCCAGCTCTTGTTTCATCCACCTGGCATTTTTATATGTAAAAAAACATGTAAAGTTGCACTTCTTTTCCCAGCAGCAACAGTGCTGTGTTGTGATTATAAATGGTAGATGCTGAAGTTAACACCCTCCCTCTGAGATTATAAAAGCGCTATTTTAATGATTTATTGAAAAGGTCTTGGTACGGTATCTGCATGCAGCATTTTACTGCATAAGAAAAACTAGAAAATGTTACAATGATATGTTATGGTATAAACCATTTGGGGTTAGAGACTCTGCTAGGAGAAAATATCGTTAACTGCCATCTGTCATTCTAGATCAGCTGGAGTAAAGCACACTAGAAACAGAAAACTGGCATTTTCTGATCCTTGGTAGAAAGCATCTGATTATTTCAAAACACTCCTTTTTCTGGGTAAAGCATTGTCAAGGCTGTATTTTAGGTGCTGTTTTTTCTAAAGCATGAGAGTGTGTTCCAAGATCAAGAGCCCTTTCTAACTGGATTAATACATCAAAGTGTGGGGAAAAGGAAATATTTAACATAACAGTTGCATCAAACATAACTAACAGGCAGAACTTGCTTTGTTCTAGAGTTCACCCAGTCTCCTGGGCCCAATCTCACTTTGAAAAAAATGTCTTGCGGAATAGTTGAGTTTGCAGAGAAGTACTCTTCCCACACATCACACCATTTCAGAAGTATCTTGGTAGCTGTGTCTTTGCTTGGATATTCCATGAAACTTGTTGCTGCATTAGCTGCAGAACAAGAATAAGAAATGGAAGCTGGGGAAAAAAAGAACAGACAATTTCAGCTCCAAAGAAGAATTTGAGGGAACAGCTAATAAGCACATTGAAATGGAAACTGTAAAGAAGCGCTGTATGTGACCCAAACTGCTGAGAATATTTTGTTTGTTGTTCAGAGAACTGTAAAAGTTCCACTAGCTATTGATGTTTTTGATCGCATGGTAGAATAGCAGTTCATTGATAATTTGCTTGTAATACATTAATGGTATACATTTTCAGTCCCCTTTCTGAGGGTAATCGTTTGACAACTGGTATGTTTCAATACCAGCCTAATAGCCTGTGCTGTCACTAATATTAGGAAAATGTTAGATGTGGGCCTTTGACATGAGATTATATCATGCTGGTCATGCTTTTTCTAATGTTAAGTGAACATGGACAGCGTGTTAATTGTACAGTCACCTTCAGGAAAAAATATCGCACAATCTTTGGACTGATAGTCATTTGGGAGTACGACGTGTTGTTGTCCAGTTTGTCTTGTGGCTATGTCATCATACTTTTTCAGCTACATGGCTAATTAGGAGACTGCAGTGATAATAATTTTATTCTTAGAGTTTGAATTAGTGGTTGGTTTTTGACCCACAGTAGAAAACCGGTCAGCTTTCTCCACTGAACAATCACTGACCTCAGGATTCCTGGCCAATTCTGTTTATGTTGTGCACATACCCTGGACTTCTTGGGAAACAAAGGAGTCTGAATGATGGGTAAAACTAAATATTTCATGGTAGTTTGGTCTGCTTGAAACCGTAAACCCTTGCCTTTCACTGTGTTGTGTTTTTCACCCCCTCTTCCTTTATTCTGTCCTTTGGTAAGACTTGCAGCAATGGCACTTGGTTTGTGAGCAGTGCTGAATGCCCTCAGCTTCACTGTAAGTCAGCAACAGTCACTTTTGAAATTTGGACTGTGACTTGCACGTTGAGATCTCTGTCTTTGCAGCTTTGTAAAGAAAAGGACAGCTAAGTGATGAGGTGACTTGTTTATCTTGTCTACCACTCCTCTTCCCTCTTCACCCTTCCATTTTTTGCAAGTCATAAGTCAGTATCCGTAGCATAATGGCAGTCCAGAAACTTATACTGGCACATGAAAGATATTTCAAAGGCAGCTACCATTTAGTATGATTTATTTCACAGGAGAGGAATCATAAGTGTGTTTTTCTTATAGTTGCAATTTGTGTGTGCATGATTGTATGAAGCAAAGGGATGCAGAGTCCCCAGGCAGGTGCAAAGGAGAGTCTCTTAATTGCAAAAAGCAGGCCTTTTTAAGCAGTTAACCCATTATCAGTTACATAGTTTTCAAACATAACAAACGTAATCCAATCAACCACTATAAATCATGATGTGAACGTGTCATGGTTATATAAATTGTTTTTCTGCCGCCAATTCAGCTGAGTCACTTTCCCAGAGTCCTTTTTTTCTTAGCCAAAGTAGCCGGCCTGAGCCATGATTTTACAAAGGTAACAAGTCCCTTATTTTATAAGGTTTTTCCTATATGCAACATATGATATTGTAAGAAATGTTATACCTGAATCTTTCAAAGAGGAAAAAAGCCCCAGCATGCCAGTAAACCAGGTACAAGACTTACTGAAAGAGATGTTTTTGTATTAATGTCAACCTTTTGACTTATTAGACTGCTTCAACACGTGTGTCTTACAGTAATAATGTATTATTTTACATTACTAGGATTATTAGGCTGTGTCTGCATAAGGAATATTGCATGGTACTTAAAATGTACCTTAAGTTTGCCTTAAAAAATCTTCTAAGTAGAATTAAATTGACTACCACTAAACAGCAGTACATTTCAAATATTTATTTGGATTCTTTGCAAAATGACTGTAAGCTTTGAAAATTTTAGGCTTTTATATATGTTCAAGAAGTTTCTGCTTCTGAAAGGGACAGATCAGTTTTGCAGGAACTTGTGTTGGGATTTGTTTATTATCCTACTGAGAACAGATCAGAAGAATCGAAATCTTAATGTAATTTTTTTAGAGAAACATAACTAGGATGAACCTCTGTCGTAGTTTAGGGCAAATTTGGAGGAGAATTTCCAAATTAGGGCTCCTCCAGTAAGCAAACCCACACAGCCCCTCCCCCCAACCAGTTCGGGAAGGATTTCTCGGAGAGGAGTGGAAAGAACCTGTTTATTTAACAAGCACAGCACCCCCCAGCACACAAAATGAACAATACCCCAACCAGTTCGGGAAGGATTCCTCAGAGAGGAGTGGAAAGAACCTGTTTATTTAACAAGCACAGCACCCCCCAGCACACAAAATGAACAATACCGGATGGCACCGCTCTGAAAAAGAGATGACAAATTCAGAAAGTCTCTCTTGGGGGTTGCTCACTCTGTTCTCAGTCCCTCCGGCGCTGGGGCAGCTGCTGCAGGCCACAAGGTGCAGAATCTTGGTGTTTCCCAGGTCCCAGTCCGGAGCAGGTTCAAAATGATCAGAAAAAGGAAAGGAGAAACCGTCCAGGAAGAAATTGGACAGTTTAGCTAAACTAGCTAAAGAGCAAAAGCAAGCAGAAGCGAAGCGAGCAAGAGTGAGAGAGAGCAAAGCGAAAAGCAAAAGCAGCAAAAGCAAAAGCTGCAGTCTCTGTGTCCCGCCAGGCTGATAAGAAAAACCAAAACAAAACTTTCCCTCTTCAGAGCCGGTCTTAAAGGTACAGAACATAATATCCAACATTAACAGAACACATGACTGGGCATACAAGCATCATAACGTCACCCTGGGACAACCTCTTTCAATCCTACTACACCCTGTGCATTTGTTAGCAGCCTAATTTGTTGTCTTGTGCACTTGCATCTTTGAACATTCAATTAGTACCTTGAGTACGCGGAGGCCTTACTATTGCTGAGGCCTTTTCTAGCAATATTTTGAATTACTTGAAATGACTGATGTGTCCAGTAGAGGGGAGCAGTGCCTATGCATGCAGATCCAACGGCTTGGTAATAAAAACATTATTTTCTTAAAAAGCTGTACCTATTCTAGTCACTGGCACATGTAATTGTTGACCAAACACCAGGGAAGAAACCTGAAGAAATTAATAGTTATGAACCAGAAATAGCATTTTATTGGAGTTGAGTAATATATTGCTGACCAGATGCATGTTAGTTAGTGTGCATTTTTGCTTAGCACTGTCTGTTCAGTGCCTTCTGTTCCTTTACTATATTGAGATTTTGTGAAGCAGCCTTTCACAGAGGTGCAAACTTGAATGGGAGCACAGTAAAATCAGTCATTTGGCCTCACACATTTCTTTTTTTTTTTTTTTCCTATATGCTAAGAATGACAGGAGGTCTTGGGAGGGTAGTTAAGTACCAGGGTTCAGTCAACAGTTAATATTTTGCAGGAGATCAGTCTACATCTTCAGTGTTTGGTTGCCTGATACTGGTTATACTAAATATCTGATTTGGTAAACATTAGAACATTGCTGCTAAGTTCTCTAATAACAAAATGGGCTTTGACTTCGTATCACAGGCATCATTGGTTAAACATCATATGAGATTATTCTTCTTTGTCATTGCATACTATGCAGTGACAGGGCTGACTTAAAAGTGTTGTTTTTGTCGTTCCAGCTTGTAGTTCAGCTGTGTCTTGTACAGTATCACAGGAGTGCATATGCAAGCGTACACATTTTTCATTGCAAAATTCTACAATTGGTGTTTTAATTATATTCCACAGAGAATGGAAATTTCATTCTGGTCAGGATCACCACATATAGATTCTGTTCCTTTGTGGCTTCAAAGGAGAGATTGCCTCAGGCTTTCAGATTCACATACTGAGTATAATGCCTTGTACTTGTTTCACTATAAAAACATTACAGTATCAATGTAACCATGCTGAGACCTTCCAGCGTTACCTCTTCTGTATTTTGTGCTGTGCAGAAATACAAAAAGTACATACTAGTAAGAAATAATTTAGTAAATTATGACTACTTCTACAGATAGATTTCCACTTGACAAGATTGGAAATGCAGTATACAGCAGACAGTTTACATTTTAGACTTATATGACTTGAACTTTGGGGTGCTAGTCATATGTACAGAGGAGGAAAGATGTGGCCATCTGTTGCATGCAAAGACTATTTACTGTCACAGTAGTACAGGCTACAGAAATGTAGCTAAGAGTGTTTTACCTTATTTTCAGTTAGCAAATCATCAGGATTTTTTTGGGGTTATATTCACTTCCATATGCAGGAAGGTGCAGGTGTTTCCCTTTCTGCGTGTGCAGTGTAGGTTAGTACAAGCTGATAAGAGTCATTCCTCTTTGTACAGACTGGCTTGGGTAGGTGGACAAGGCACTGAGTGATAACTCTCTATTCAGAGAAAGGCCTGCCTACTTTGTGAATTTCTGTTCTAGTTGGAGAAGTCCTTGACAATCACCTTTATTTTTAAATCTATCTAAATAGTATTTTTGTGTATCTCTGCTTGCTGGGGTAAGTGTGCTAGCTAGCAACACAGAAGTACACAGCTGGTATCTCACACAGACAGCTTACTCAACCGATCCAGGTACAGTAACATGGATAGAGATGAAGAAAACTACTATGGAAAACATGGTAATTTACTTGCTTTCTTAGAACAATTCAAAACATCTGATCTAAATCTCACATATTTCAACTGTGTAATTTCAATGGACTTAAATGGGCTTGAATGCAGACTCAAATGGTTTCCTGTAACTTCTTCAATTATTAGCAATATTGTAATTTTTTCCTGGATGTCATTTGCTAGTTTATTTAAATTGCACATCAAAGGTAAGTTTTGCATGTGTGTATGGTCGATTTTTACTTTAGGTAAGTAATTTTAGAGTTGCTCTTTAAAATTATTACAGTGATAAAGTGTAACAATTAACTTAATATGCTATTTTGGAGTCAGAATTTGTAAATACCTTGTCAGGTATTTCTGGTAATGATATTTTACTTCAACATACACAAGTTTCGTATTATAAGGCAGCCTGTAAAATAGATCTGTCTCATCTGCAAAGAAAAAAATATGATACCAGTTTTTAATCTTAGTGAAAGGTGTAAGTCCCCCCTCACCACTGCTTTCTTCCTTATGCCTACCAAACTCCTAAAGCTTGGAATTTGCTTTCTAAATATATTTGGGCTTTTATAGCTGGGGAAGTGGTTTGCTTTTACCAGGAGCAATGTAGATACTAGAAACATGAATAATTCCCACCTCAGCCCCTCAAAACATCTTCTGAATTTTTAAAGAATATTAGTAATAAAGTAGAGAATTTGAATTTAATTTAGAATTACGCCAGAAAAATTAGATTAAACAAATGGCATTTTTCTTTTTTTTTCTGTTCCATGAAACTGATCACAGTTGTGATCAGCTGTAACAAGAGCTCCAGAGATCCAGACTAATTCTGACAGTGAATTCAAGTGTATTTTGAACTTAGAATGTTGTTACTGTTTCTCCCCATATTCTGTAATGAATTTATACCAAGAGCTCAGTGACAGAGGAGGTAGTTTGAGCCATGTTGCCCTACACTGTGCCACCATAAGCATACAGACTGCTGGTGTGAGGAACAGTTCTTGGAAGGAACTTGCAGTACTGCAATAATTTTATAGCTGTTAGTGGTTGTTAATTCTATTTCTTAGCATCTGTCTTCTGGCTTGTTGGAGATGAAAGTCTCCATTTGAATTAGATCTCCCTTCCTGTAGTGCTTTGTTTTTATCCTCTTATATATTAGATCCATTTGGCTCTCTGTGTGCTGAGATGTTACATTTTCCTGTTCTCTTCTCAAGTGATATTTGTATAATTCTTTCTTAAAAACTTAGTGTGATGAAAATTCCAGTGTGTGTTTCAGTATATGACTGCATCCTGAAAGATTTCCTAATGCCTAATCTAAACCATCCTTGCTGCAACTGAGGTTAGCTTATCTAACTGGTAGAGGAAACAGAACTACTGATCATTGTAAATTTTGCATGGTGATTGAAGACTGTTATTTTGTGCTCCTTTGCTTAATCACAGGCATTGAAGTTGCATTCATTTACTGCTTTCTGTAAACCTTGTAGTATCTTCTTTCTAATAAGTCCCACTACTCTCTCTAATTTGTTTGTATCTTCTGAAATTCTAGTGCCATGATCTAGAAATAGTTATTCATTTGAGGCCTCACATGTCCCCAAGCACAAGGAATAGTGACTTTTTCAATCATGCCCATCTTGAAAGAGTGGTGCTTTTTTTGCAGACATTGCTTGACTGACTCATTTTCTCTTTGTAGTGTGCTGTAATCCTTTAGGATTCTCCTCAACAGTGTTTTTGAAATCAATTGTTCCTTATGGATTCCTGAATAGAGTTTGTCTTTACAACTTTTGTTACTTTACAAAATTCACTTTGAAGTGTTGTTTATAAAAATCCTTTTTGATAAATACCTCTGTCTCCAGAACACTTGTCACCTGCACAGTTTCAAAATGTTCATTCTACTTAATTGTTCTAATTTTTAAGGAGAACATTGAATAACTTTGGAGACTAGGCTCCTCCAGTACTGGGATTGAGCTAACTACTACAATTCAAGAGTGAGAACTTGGAGTCTTTAGGGGTGACTCAATAAAAATGTTTGCCCATAAAAGCAAGTAGACTGTTAGAATTGTTAGGAATGGACTGAAGTCAGATAGAAAGAGTCATTATGGGATTATATAAATCACGTCCAATGTTCGTGGTGAATATCCTGTGCCATTCTGGCCCCTCCTTTTCTAGTGATCTGTAGTAGTGCTGTAAAGGGTAAGAAAAGGAATATAAGCATGACCAAAACTATGAAATGGCTTATGTACAAGAAACATTTGAGCAGACCAGGACATTTGAGTGTAATAATTTGTAACATTTTTGTTAGCATAACATGCTGCCGTGTTACACAGTACAGTAATAAACTGGTTGATTGCAAGCTTAAAACAGATAAAATAAATGTTTGATTGACTTGTAGTACTCTGTGATGTAGAGCATTGCAGATTGTTAAAGTATATGCAAGGTAAATAGAGATTCCTTGAATCTCAATTTTTCAATGAATGAAAAAGAAATTCACTCAGAGCTATTAAATGCAAAGTCAGTACTTTTAGTTAAGAAAAATGCAGTTGGAAGTCTCTGTAATATCAGTGTTGGGTAAATACTGCAGTATTTGCCTTGGTGTTGCATTCCTCCTCAGAGATGGCCCCTTATAACATTCAGGGTGTGGATTCGGTGGATTTTTTTGTGTGATCTGGTGTGGCTGTTCTTATGTGCTCAACAGGTCCTGTAAGAGCAAAGAACAGAAGTTCAGCTTCAGTGTGCCTTAAAGCCAGAACGTGTCTATGGGGCGTAACGTTACGTATGGTTTTGTTCTGGTGGTGAATTATTTTGTAGTAGAAATATTTGTTTTGTAGGAATTTCTGTTCAAAATTGTTCGTTCAATATACAGGTGTTGGCCCAACATTAGGTATTGTGTATGGTACATTTGCTTTCCTGACCATGCATCACAGCATAGCTTATTCCACTCCCCAGCATTGCTGTCATACATCACTTCTCTAAAGTTTTAATTTTTTTGGTCTCTTCTGTATTAAGATATTTTTGTTTCAGGAGCTTGCTAAGGTGGATCTGAGTACCTCAGATGAAGGGC